CCCAACGGCCCCCTTGATCTCGCAAAGCCACTACCCACCTCGGGGCCCACCTCAAGTCCCACCTTCTCCGTGACAGACCCCTGTGCCCCTCAGTTGGCACTGGTTTTCTTTCAGAGGCAACGGGGGTGGAAATAAGCAAAAACAAAGCAGGGGCTCTCTGTCAGGCTCTGCCCTGCAGGCAAGGATCTAGCCCTGGTACCCTTAACTCAAAGAAATGAGATTTCAGAGTGGTTAACCTGCATGGACCCCTCCAGGCCTACAATCCAGATTCCCATTTCAGTGTATCTCCTCCTCAAATTCTGACTGTCATTATAGTAAAGGATACCACTTTTGAGCTTGTGTTCTATGCTGAGAACTAGCTTAATATTTCAGCTACTGCACATCATCATAGCTTTCCCTGCAACAACCCAACAAGGATGTTTTGGGGTTATCCCCAGTTACTAGGAAACTGAGGTTCAGAGAGGTGATGTAGCATTCCCATGGTGACACAGCCATGAGATGGCAGGGCCCATGTCCTAAACCACTACACCATTCTGTTCCCCGCTGTGCTCTCCTCTGGTCCCAGAGACCTCGTTGGGGTCCCTGCTGACACGGGGAGGGAAATGGACTTGGGTAATAATGTCCTCATTTTATAAATAAATTTTATAAACTCCCATTAGAGATAACATGGCTTGTGCAAGGTCACACAATGGCAGCGTCAGGAATAATAACCCAGGGGGCTCAGGGCTTCTGTTTCCCCTACACCATGCTGTGGTTGCCGATTTCCCTGGCCTTGGAAGGCAATAAAAAGACCTGGCTCCATTTTGGTAGCATAATAATTACTTCATCCTTCTACCTTCAAAGGTCTTTCTCTTCTTCTCCGATTAGCAATAGCTTACATGATAATTCTAAACAAGGAATGAGTTAATTTTTAGTTCTGGCATAAAAGAGCAAAAATAAATTTTTTTAGTAATGGACAAAAACAAAGCAACTCTTCTAGCAAGGAAAATTCTCTCAGAACACATTGTAAAAAAAAAAAAAAAAAAAAAAAAAAAACACAACTGTTTGCACACCGACTGCCACACATCTTCATTGTATGGTCACAACACTAGCAGATTTTTACTATAATTCACACAAATCAAGAGAAAGAATGGTTTCATTTGCCCTTTCCATACCTCAAAAAGGCAATTCTTAACTAGAAAGAAATTATGTTTTCACTGTCACTTGTGGGAGAAACGGCCTTTGCCAAATGCCACACCTCCTAGGAGAGGACTTAGTAGGGACACTCAGTGCAAATGACAGTGCAGATGGACCCAGACACGGCCCGTCTGCGCAGGAAGGCTCAGCCTGCAGGCTGCTCCCAGCTAGCTCCCAGCAATTTGCCATATGCCGCCAGGGCCCGGTGGTGGTCAATGACTCAGAGTTCACAGCGTGACCTGGCAAGGCCAGGACGGCATTACTCTGCAACCTAGGCCAGGTGTCCCCCCACCAGTGTCAGTAAAGGTGGCCTCTTTGTACTCTTCCAGACAAAAAGGAATGTCATCCTGAGTACATTCCAAAGGACAAGGGGCAAGTCACCACAGACCCAGACTTTTTAAAAGACATCAAGTCCCATCTTGGGTGAGTTTGGGGCCCACCTGTCAAAAGCACAACATGATCTGGCTACTTTCTCCTGTTCAGTTTCCCTCGTATGAGTCCTACCTTCTTGTCTTGCTATAATGCATCTTAGGTTTAGGGTGCAGAAATGGAGTCAAGGCTGCTCCTATGAGATGGTCCCACAGTCAGGTGATGATTCGCAAAGCAATGGAGTGAAAAGTAAAGCCCCGGGATCCCCTCTGGGGAGCATGCAGCAGGGTTCCTGGCTCTCGAGGAATGGCTGTGCCTGGATGCTGATGCTGACAGGGCCAGATGATGGCAGCAGATGTGTCTTCTCCGGAGCCTCTGTGCAGTGCACTTAAGTGCTCTTTGACTAAACCCACTGTTTTAGCCCGGGACCCATGATGTCCTTGCATGAACCAACCTATGTCACCCAAAGTGCCAATGTACATCCTGAGTAAACCTGAAATGCCTTTGCCCAGAAGCTCCGGGATGGTTGGGGGAGTACAGACTTGCACAGGCTCCACCCTCTACTGGCTCTGTCTCCTTGGACATGTAATTTAACTCCTGACCCTCAATTGTTTCAAATGAAAAACAGAAATAATCAAATCCAGTTACATGACCATTATGAGGATGAACTATTAAATATACAGGCCATGAATAGGGTGGTCGGTATAGCAGCTGGCATAACAGGCATTCTGTAAAAGTTATTTGCTTCCCCATTCTTAACTCTTGATACTGCTGTCTAACGTAGTGATGCTTTTCCCCCCAAGCTCCCAACTCCAAATCATTCAAATTTTGATAAAGAAAAAAATCAAAAAGGGCACAGTCTTCAACTATAACACCAGTAGAGATATTTTTCAGGTTGACAGTAATCTACTCATAACACTCCTGGAGTGAGGTCATTCAACTAGACTGTCATCCAGCCTGAATTCTGACATCTTATATAAAAGGATGTCAGTCAAATATTCAGTAAAAACTATAGCAATGGAATTTTCTCAAGTCTATCAATCTAATAATGTTATTTTTTAAATGATGATGAATAGAACCTGGTGTGACATAATAATGATACCCCTCCTGTGTGTATAGCCTATCGTAGTTTCCAGATGATGGCAGCAGATGTGTGTCTGTTCCCACACATGGCTGGGTCCTCAAAAAACCTTGCTGGTTCCTACCAAGGACCCTAGCCTTAGGGCTCATGGTCATGTTTTTCAGGACTTCATTGTGGGATCCTGCCATTTACCTGGCCACCAAGGTTCAGTAAATACCTATAATGTGTTGAGAAGATACTAGATGACAGATATTCAGATAGGTCCAGTTCTCACCTAGTAGAGCTTTAGCAGCAGACAACTGAGGGACAATTAAAGAAGAAAGGACTATAAATTGTGGCAGGTGTTAAAGTAGGGAAAGCTAGGGTCAGGTAAAAAAACTAAGAAGTCTCCCACTTTCCCTTATTTACTGAGCCGTTCATAAAGAATCAGCATTCTCAGATAATATTCATCTGGCTGTAATCTATTTTTAACTTGGGCAAGGTAGCTTCAAAGCATCTTTTGCAGAGGACTTCCAAAACCAGATTAATACAGCTAAGCATTATTTGGAAGCAACAAGAAATCTCTGAAGGTTTCTAAGGAGGAAGGTGATGAAATCAGAGATATACTTGGTTCAGAGTGGATGAGAACAGAAAGGAAGGCAAGGGGCCCTAATCAAAAGGCTATTTCATTAACCAATAAATATAGGAATAGCCGACTGTATGTTTATATTTCTACAGTGATTTTACTCTCTGTACACATCTCTGATTTTTTTATGTGTATTCGTTTATTCAAATTTACAGCAATCAGAAGTATAAAGCATTCCAAATGTAAGCTAAAAGTAACTTGATGTTAATTAACATAATTACTAATTATTTTCCCCACTGTGATGAGTTCAAAAGATGATGTAGTACAAAATAATCTACTAGAGCATCTGCTAAGGAAACTAAATATCCAGGAAGATATTAAAAAACAATGCTTAAAATACTTGTCAAACTCAGCGTGAGCAGGGGAGGGTCAGAGAGAAAGGGAGATACAGACTCTGAAATAGGCTCCAGGCTCTGAGCCAGCAGTCAGCACAGAGCCCGACGCGGGGCTCGAACCCACGAACCGCGAGATCATGACCTAAGTGAAAGTCAGACGCTTAACCGACTAAGCCACCCAGGCGCCCCTTAATAGCTCTACTTTGAATCAAGCATGATTTCATGAAGCATAACTCATGTCATTTAAAAGATAATATAGAGGGGCGCCTGGGTGGCTTAGTCGGTTAAGTGTCCGACTTTCGCTTAGGTCATGATCTCGCGGTTCGTGGGTTCGGTCCCCGCGTCGGGCTCTGTGCTGACTGGCAGCTCAGAGCCTGGAGCCTGTTTCAGTCTGTGCCTCCCTCTCTCTCTGACCCTCCCCTGCTCGCGCTGTCTCTCTCTCTCTCCTAAAAATAAATAAAAACACTAAAAAAAAAATTAAAAAAATAAATAAATAAAAATAAATAAAAGATAATATAGAAATAACATTAATACAATTAAGAAAAATGGAAATATTGAAAATATTATTTATGTATATCTCTGGAAGATATTACTAGTTTTACTTAGTTTTAGTTATTCCAATAACTAAAGATACCCTAGAAGATATTTTGAAACCAATCTGTTGTCCTTCATCTGAGAATGTCATTATTTCAGTTTTATTTCTAAAGGATATTATTACTGAATACAGAATTATAAGTTTATATTCTTGTAATATCTTATTTTCATCTGTCTTATGCTTTCATTACTAGAGAACGCTTATATTAGAATATATTCAGATTATCTGTTTATATCGTTTCCCCATATAAGAACATCAATTCCATTAAAAGAAGATTATAATTGGAAAAAAAAAATACTTGTCAAACTACTAAAATCTAGAAAATATTAATTTAATTATATTTGGTTTTTTAAAAAAAATAACTTATGGGCACATGGTAACTCTATCGGTTGAGTGTCCAGCCCTTGATTTCAGGTAAGGTCATGATTTCACAGTTTCGTGGGTTCGATCCCACTTTGGGCTCTGCACTGATAGCATAGAGCCTGCTTGAGATTCTCTCTCTATTCTGTCCTGCCCCTCCCCTGCTCATACTCTTCCTTTCTCTCAAAATAAACAAACTTTTAAAAAACTTTGAAGATCCTTAACTAAACTATACCAGAAATTTTCCTGCCCCTGAGTAGCCTTGTCAAGAAAAATATCTCAAAATACAAAAGAGTTTGCTATTACTGGTCAGTCACTTGCATCTCCCTTCTTTTGAGTAACTCTGAGAGAAGAGAAGGTCAAAGCTATAGTGGCTTCCCCTGAATACTTTAAGGCCTTAATGTACCCCCATATCTTGGAAGGTGGGGACTAGTCAGCAGGGACAACCATCGCTCTTACCCAGCATCATCCTGGAAGCCTTCCAGCTCATCCCGTTGCTCTGCTAGGGTGGATTCCAAGTCCAGGTAGGCACCATTGTGGGAGAGCTGTAGCGTACAGTCGTCAAGCTGCAAAAGAAAGAGCCTTTAAGCCCAGCCTCCTCTTGGGATGGGATCTTTGTAGGAAGAAATCTCTTCACATTGCCCTCATGTATTTTTATAAATCAAGCACTAAACATTCAAAAGAATGAAACTAGATCACTTTCTTACACCATACACAAAAATAAACTCAAAATGGATGAAGGACCTGAATGTGAGACAGGAAACCATCAAAACTCTAGAGGAGAAAGCAGAAAACAGCCTCCTTGACCTCAACTGCAGCGATTTCTTACTGGACACATCTCCAAAGGCAAGGGAATCAAGAGCAAAAATGAAAACACCACCTCATCAAGATAAAAACCTTCTACACGGCAAAGGAAACAATCAACAAAACTAACAGGCAACCGACGGGATGGGAAAAGATAGCTGCAAATGACATATCAGATAAAAGGCTAGAATCCAAAATCTATAAGGAATGCACCAAACTCCACACCCGAAAAACAAATAATCCAGTGAAGAAATGGGCAGAAGAAATGAACAGCCACTTCTCCAAAGAGGACATCCAGATGGCCAACAGACACATGAAACGATGCTCAGCATCCCTCCTCATCAGGGAAATACAAATCAAAACCACACTGAGATACCAACTCAAGCCAGTCAGAGTGGTTAAAATGAACAAATCAGGAGACTATAGATGCTGGCGAGGATGTGGAGAAACGGGCACCCTCCTACACTGTTGGTGGGAATGTAAACTGGTACAGCCCCTCTGGAAAACAGTGTGGAGGTTCCTCAGGAAACTAACAATAGAACTCCCCTAGGACCCAGCAATAGCACTGCTAGGAATTTACCCAAGGGATACAGGAGTGCTGATGCATAGGGGCACGTGTACTCCAATGTTCATAGCAGCACTTTCAACAACAGCTAAATCATGAAAAGAGCCTAAATGTCCATCAACTGACAAATGGATTGAGAAGATGTGGTTCATCTATACCATGGAATACTGCATGGCAATGAGAAAGAATGAAGTCTGGCCATGTGTAGCAACATGGATGGAACTGGAGGGTGTTATGCTAAGTGAAATATGTCAGGCAGAGAAGGACAGATACCATACGTTTTCACTCATATGTGGAACAGGAGAAACTTAACAGAGGACCATGGGGGAGGGGAAGGGGAAAAACAGTTAAGGATGGGAAGGGAGGCAAACCATGAAAGACTCTTGAATGCTGAGAACAAACTGAGGGCTGATGGGGGTGGGGGAGAGGAGAAAATGGGTGATGGGCACAGAGGAGGGAATTTGTTGGGATGCGCCCTGGGTGTGATATGGAAACCAACTTGACAATAAACTATAAAAGAAAAAACTTTTTAATTAAAAAATGAAATCAAGCATTATTCTGAAATTCAGATCACAACTGAGAGAGGTTATGTGTTAGTACAAATAAACTGGGAGCAAACTACATTGTGAGTAGACAGACATGACGCCTGTTAAGGGAACAGCACTGACAATGTCCGGTAGATGTGCACAGGGGAGGAGAAGAAGCCCTTTGGCGCCAGTGTCACTTTTCACTCTGAGGGCCTCAGGAATAAGCCATGGAGGATGTGCCGTGTAGAAACCAAAATCATGGTGCTGATGCGACCATAGATAAAGAGTCACAGAACATGCCATTTTCTTTGATTCAGTGAGCCACCTATTCATTCAGATTCTATGGTCATACCTGGCACATTACAATTAGTAGTTGCTCAATAAGCATTTTTACAGTTGAACTAAAAGAGCCATTCTCCATCTGAATGACAGCAGATCCAAATTACAACATACCAAAGACATTAGGTCTCTTTGTTATGAGCCTGATTTTTTAAATTTATTTCACACTTATATGTTGGTAATTACATTCCATGCATAACTCTAAGTACTTTACATATGCTACATCATTGGATCTTCAAAAAAACCCTATTCATTTATAGTGTTATCCCGCTTTTACAATGAGGAAACTAAGGCACAGAGAGAGACTAAGTTACTTGCCCAGGGTCACAACAGGTAAATGGTAGAGCTAGGATTTAGATGCTGGTACTTTGCTTCAAGATCATGCTCTCAATCACTATGCCACTCTGCATCCTTCTATGGCCGCAAACCTATAGAGGGTTTGAAAATATCATGTTTGTGGGGCACCTGGGTGGCTCAGTCACTGAAGCATCCAACTCTTGATTTCAGTTCAGGTCATGATCTCACAGTTCGTGAGTTCAAGCCTCACATTGGGCTCTGTGCTGACAGCGTGGAACCTGCTTGAGATTCACTCTCTCTCCTTCTCTCTCTGCCCCTCCCCAACTTGCACGCTCTCTAATTAATTAATTGGTTTTTTTAACTTTTAAAAAAATGAAAAGAAATTTAAAAAGAAAAGATCATGTTTGCAAAATGCAGTATGTGTCATCTCAGTGTTCTGATATAGCCAAGGCAATGCCACAGGTGTGCCAACCCCATTCCCCTTTCCTCCTGGGCACAGAGAGCACACATCCCAGGCTGCAGTTAAGCTAACAGCCATGTAACTCGGTACCAACCAATGCAATTTCGGTAAAGTGAAAAAGCCTCCTCTCCCCCGGTGCCCCCAGGCCTGGCCTTAACATCCCTGCACATCTACCTTTCTTTTGTCTATGACCAGATGTGGAGAAGCCAGAGGCTGGATGCAGAGATGCCAAAGGAGGACTCCAAAGTCTAGAAACCAGCAGGGCTCCAGATAGAAGGTGCCCCAGTTCCTGAATCACCACACAGAAGAGAGCATTCTGTTGCCCAGCGCCCACCACCCATCCTGGCTGATGGCAAGAGCTAGACATGAGCCTTTGCTGTGATAAATCATTCCAATTTTGAGGCTGCTCCAGCAGCCAGCACTACATGACATTTAGAAGGATTGATACACTTAAAAATACAAGAAAACTGTTTACTAAAGATGAACATTATGAGGAACTGCACCTTCACACTTGATTTCCTGGGCTATAAGAGTGGTTCTCAATATTCGTCTACCTGATGAGTTAAGGCTCTTATTCCAAAATGACAGGAGACTGGGGGAAAGTGAAGGAAAGAATTTAGCTATTTTAAAACATCTAAATAAATGCCTGATAATCCTCCCACTATAAGTGAGATTTCAAACAAGGAATTAGGAACTAGTCTCTTTTGATGGAAAAGCTTTGCTTATTATCCTCAATAAGAAAAATGTAGACTGTCAACTTGTCTAGAATTAGCATCTATAACAGGCTGCTAATTCTTATAGAGACCCCGTGGCTGCCATTTCTAGTTATCCTCAACAGAATGAAAGGAATTTGTTTCTTATTATTTGCAGGAAATACCTAGCGGGGCACCTGAGTGGCTCAGTCGGTTAAGTCTCCAACTTTGGCTCAGGTCATAATCTCATGGTTCTTGGGTTCAAGCCCCACATCGGGCTCTGTGCTGACAGCTCAGAGCCTGGAGCCTGCTTCAGATTCTGTGTCTCTCTTGCTTTCTGCTCTTCCCCCGCTTGTGCTCTATCTCTCTGTCTCTAAAATAAATAAACATTTAAAACATTAAAAAAAAAAAAAAGAAATACCTAGCTAAATCATTTGAAAGGATTAATCCTATTCAATTCACTTGTTTTATCTCCCCAGTAACAAACTGCTCCTCTTAACTACTCAAGGCCTGCCAGTAAGATTCAGCATTCTTGACTGGCATTTTACAGATGGATCATCTGATCTGAAAAAGAATTCAAACCCAAGGATCAAACTCACAGTACTGCGGCATGAGAGGTGTGCCCAGGGTTTAGGGGGAACACACGGGAGAACTGCCCCCCACCCCAGGCTGCGAAAGCAGCAGACAGGAAGGATTTCCTGCAGAAGGCATCTCCTGGGCCAAGGGTCTTCTGTGGACTAAAATCAGACTTCATCACTCCTAGATGGAAAATTCCATTAGAAACTGGACCTGTTAACATCAAACCATGTGTCGAGCTAGAATCACTGCAGCTCAGTCTTGCTTTGACCTCCTACTGATGTGAACTAAGGAAACTTACTCAGTCTGCCCTGTTGGTAGGACCAGCACTTGTGCTTATCTTTAATCCCACTTATAATCAACAGACCAGAAGACGGGGATAATGAAAGCCCTCTAAGCCACAACAATTTCTTTTGCCTCAGCCCCTGGAAATGTGTGAGTCCAGAGAAGGAAGGTTTTGGATGAAGAGTTTCTGCTTCTCCTCCAGGGGGTCTGAGTCATTCAGAGGCTGGGGTCCACACTCAGGCCAGACAGACAGAACCAAGTCAGAGAGGATGTGTGCTCTGGTGGAGAGATGCAGAGTGTGCAGGTATATGTGGTATAAATACTCCCACCTCGGCCGATTTCAAGCCACCAATGTGAAGTCACTGAGCATGGAGTCGGAAAAAGAGATGCAGCAGCTCATCATTACATAGTATTTTCACCATACAGATACAAGAGATGTAGGGAACTTTAAAACTTTAAAAGCATAGGTAGCAGTACAATCTAATAAGACAATTAGGAAGTGGCATTTTGAGTATTTATTACCTTTGTTTTTAAGATAACTTATTTTAATTGTACATTTATATAATTTTGTGTGGGGAGGTGTTTTTCTTTTACATTTTTTAAAATATCCATTTATTTTTGAGAGAGAGAGAGACAGAGCATGAGCGGAGGAGGGGCAGAGAGAGGAAGACCCAGAATCTGAAACAGGCTCCAGGCTCTGAACCGTCAGCACAGAGCCTGATGCAGGGCGTGAACTCACAAACTGCAAGATCATGACCTGAGCCGAAGTGAGACACTTAACCGATGGAGCCATCCAGGCACCCCTATAATTTCATTTTTAATAATGGCTACATTCAACAACTGGCTCACAGAATTCCCCAGAATAGATGTCTCCGCACCCTCCAGCTGCCCAGGCCAGTTCTGGTACCCTTGCTTGTGGCCCTCCCACTCATTCAGTGGAGGCACCTATCATGGAGAGAGCAGAGATCGAGTAAGAGGTAGAAGGACCCTGTCCTGGCTTTCACAACCCCCCACCCCCACC